ATTGATAGTATGGTATTTCTGCACTGTAATGAGATGTTCAAATTCCATTACCATTTCACAGCAGTAAGCAACTTAAGAAGTTGAAATTTGCCTTTTAATATAAAACATGCCTAAAATTGTATTCATGCAAGAATCACACACCTAGTGCCTAGACACTTACACACAATCTTATCCACAGGATCATGGTCATCAAAAGTAACAAATCCAAAGCCTCTCTTCTTCCCAGACTGCCTATCAGTAATTATCTCAATGGTATCAATTTTCCCATATTCCTCAAAATAATCTCTAAGATGATGCTCCTCAGTATCTTCTTTAATTCCACCAACAAAAAGCTTCTTCACAGTCACATGAGCCCCAGGTTTTCCAGATTCCTAAGATAGTAAAAGAGAGTGTCATCCTGACAGTACAAAACAAAACATGACTGAAAGCATACTGCCTGGGTAGCGAAGAGGGATTCTATGCCAAAAATCAGGTAAAAGGCAGACCTAGTGGCTAAGTTTATAGTCCTTCTGACGTATTTTTGCTCACCTCTCTTGCAACAGCACGTTTTGGCTCAACCACTCTCCCATCAATAGAATGAGGTCTGGCAGCCATGGCAGCATCAACCTCAGACATAGATGAAAAAGTTACAAAACCAAATCCTCTTGATCTTTTGCTTGCAGGATCTCGCATTACCTTAAAAGCCAATGAAAGGAACTTTAGCATTTGATCTCATTACCTGTATTATAAACTAGTAAGATAAACAAGGACTGATTTTTCTCAGGATCCACTTAACTAGCTTAGTATTTATAAGCATTTTTTCATATTTAACTTACCACACAATCTGTAAGCTTCCCCCATTGTTCATAGTAATTCCTCAAACTCTCTTCTGTGGTTTCAAAGCTCAAGCCGCCAATAAAGAGTTTACGGAACTGTTCCTTTTCTCTCTGCAAAGGAAAACATCATTTCAATTTTTATTTACATTTTCTCTTTGTATGCAGGAAATTAAATTCTTAAATATGAGGTGACCTGCTGGCAGAGTACCTTTTTCCTCTCCAAAGGAACAGTTTCTAAAGTTTTCTGGGGGGAAAAAAAAAACTTACATCAAATTTAAACCATATGTTAAACTGCATATTAGTTGTGTTACACCAAAAAAAAAAAAAAAGCTTCAGCTGAACTATATAAACTTTAAAGTCATCAATGCTTGATCTAAACACACTTGCCATTAAATAATTTTCAATAAATTTAATATTAACTTTAAAAAAATGTTTTAAGCGGAGCAAATCTACTCCCTGGTGATTGCTGGGTCAAGTATTCTTAACAGAATTTGTATTCAATGCCTTATCCTAAAAAGGAGAATTAACTTCTACGTACTCAGTTTCAATATTTTTAAATACCCAAACTAGTGGCTCCTTGCTCAATACACAGTTTACCATTTTTATAACATTTCAGTTATCTAAGAAAAAAACACTTCCCTTCATTACTCCCTCTGGTGGATATTCTGATATACCTCAATCAATAAAGGAAAATATCCCACACCTTAAAGAGAAATGTCTTTCAACGCTTAATACAGGGACCAAAAATATATTCACTTCTAACCAACAAAGAATGATTTTTAATAGCAGCACGTAAATGCTTAATGTGATTTCACTGTGAACACGTCTATATTTGGTTTTTAGACGACACAGAAACAAATTTCCCAGCTGTAGGTAGAATAATAAGTTCGCTGTAATCATCTCTGTCCAAAAACCGTAAAAATGTTTAAGTGACCACTGTGACTATCTGGGAACTAACTTGAACCTATTTCCATTTGCACTTCAAACATGTAAACGAAAGCACCATGTGGACTGAGTGGCCACCTGGCAAACTCAAGTGTGCTTATTGTACAAATGAAAAAGAAAAATCCTGGGCTTAAATCTTTCAATACCCAAAAATCCATCAAGTAAGTTTGTTGCATCACTACCAGCCCTCCTTTTGGAGCCGTGAGTGAAGAATAGACCGATCATAAAGTATTTGGTTTCTCACAACATGACTAGGTTTAAAATTCAGAAAGTTAAGCCAGAACTCTAGATCCCAGTAATTTCCTTGATAAGAACTGCAACTGCAGCTCTAAGTGCACAATTTTAAGATTTCAACCTCTTCATAGGATATTCTCCCAACAACTGAAAAATAGTTATTAAAAACTAGATTGGGATTGAAGATAACATTACCAAACTAACTCCCATCACACATTAATGTAACGGTCTGCTAAAACGACTTATCTGGCACATTGATATCTGAATTCTCGACCTAAGTGTAACCTTACTGTAAATCATTTTTTCCAATCTAAGCAAATTAGAGATCCTTACAGTACATCTACAACAAATTTTACGAAGTACTAGCAAAAGGCAAAAACTCATTACTTACCTCAAATTTTTTTCCAAACTTACCCGATGTCCACTATCGATTACAAAGTTATTTTATAAGAGAGCTTAAGGTCAAAGAAGATACCCAGGTAGACCACCCCCTCTCGCTTGAGACCTTAAAGCTTATCAATGTAATGACCAACCACGATTGCAAACACAAATGAGAAAAGCAGGTGACAAAGTTCAAATACACAGCGGTCCAGCCTGAAACAGTTTTCTGTGTAATACACGATTTGAAAGACTGAGCCATGTTTTAACCAAGGCAAATAAAAAAATTTGAGTCTAATTTTTATTCCATTCCCTTCCCCTCATTTCCAGCCTATCATTTGCAAGGGACCGCGGTTTTATCCAGTAAAAATTAAACATCCCAGTAAAAGTACTCTGATACGAATAAACCCCACATTCTAAAAGGATTAAAAATGAAGCCTTCAGGAAAATGGATCATTGTAGCCATCCCTCCCCCCACCCGAAATAACCCCCTCGCCCCCGGCCACCTACGGTCGGCACTAACATGGCTCCAATTTTTTTTTACTACACGTTTCCTGCGATTCCGCGGCTTTTTTTAACCACCGCAGACCCAGATAAAACCGTTACCCCGAGGAATTAAAGGCTGGAAAATATTTTCTTTGTCCTCTAATTCGCCATAATACAGGGCCCAACAGCCAGGTTGTTTTCTACCTCCTCGCAAAGATCGCGAGCCAGCGCCCCCCTCCCGCTCGTCGCTGTGGCTCCGGAACGCAATGGCGCCATTTCATCGAGGGGAAGGGAGAGCCTCTAAAGAGGTGCGCAGGACTCTAAAGATCCAAGCTCCCCACCAAGCTCGGGATCCACCTCGAACGGCATGAAAGAGCCCGAGAAGAAAGAAAAATAGTTAACCACTTCTAGTCTCTGGAAAGGGAGTCAAACGAGGGGAATTCAGAGTTAGAAGAAAAATGCTGCGAGGAAGGAGAGAAATGAAAATGGCGGCCGCCAAATCCGGTTCCCCGGAGGGGGAGGGGAAGCGCCGCAGCCGCGCTCACGAGGCCCCGAAGCCCGCCGAAACGCTCAAATGCCGGGCAGCCCGGGCCCCCAAATCAGCGTGCTGTCAAAAGGGGTGGAAAATTCCCGCCTCCGCGCCCCACTTTCACTAAAGCCGGGCCGCGTCCACCGTGTGGAAGTGCCCCATCCCCCACCCCCAGCCGAGGGAAATGGCGCCGGGAGGCTGAGGGTGGGGAAGGTGTATTACCAGGCCTCCCCTAACGACTTCTCTTCAAAGCTACCTCGACACCAACCGCTTCCGAAGTGGCCCCATTTCACAGCCGCTCTCCCACGGAGGCGGACGGCCGACTTCCACCGAGGCGCCAACCGCCTCGCCATGCCCTCGCCAATAACTCATTGATTTCAAACCCGTTACCTCCATCGCGGACTCAGTCGCTTCAGCCCGATTTCCCGCAGCCGAGCGAGATGAGAGAGATCTCCGCGGACGAACACGAACCGGACTCGTCCTGGCGCTGTAGTGAGAACTGCTGCTGCTCGAGAAACAACACCGCTAAGAGCACCTCCGCTCGGGACTCGGCGCTGCTGCTACTGCCGCTAGAGCCGCTGCCGCCGCTTTTCTAGAACCTTCCCCCCAACCAACGCGTCTTACCCTACGTCAGTCCGTTGCGTAAACGTCCTAACCGCCGCCAATGGCGGGAACGCCCTACGCCCCTCCTTAAGCTAACTACGTACTCCCTCCCCCTTTGTGTCCAGCGCTGGGGCTTGACGTCACTTGCGTAAATGGACTCAGGGAATTGCGGAAGGCACGAGTTCTGCGTATTTCTCTCTCTCGGAATTGGGTCCAGCCCCCACTTTAGCGCAGCGCAGGTGAGAAACGGTCGCGCAGTTTGAAATTAATGCAGTCGGGAGGAGCTTAATCCAGAGACCTGAGGCCCGGCCCCCTCAGCCCGGGAGGTGATCCCTGCTGCAAACCCTTTGATAGCTGTCCCCTCTCACCCCCAACACACACCTCTCAATCTCCCGCCATAAAAATCTCCATAGGCGGCCCGCGTTTTCCCTCCCCCAGTCTCCGATCGTGCACAGCGCGGCTAAGCCCCTTCCGGAAACACCCGAAGCGACTTGTAGCTAACAAATTACACTCTGCGCTCCACCGACCTAACCCTAACTAACGTCTTTGGGGTCAGGAGAGGTATTTCAGAAAGGCGATCGGAAAGATGCACTAATTCCAGATTTCACCCCCAAGTTTTTCTTCACACTACCCCCCCATTTGGAGGCGTCCACCCCTGGGGCGAGGATGTGGGCGGAGCCGGGTTTTGGCGCCTGGAGACGCAGCAACAAGGCAGAAAAAAAACCTCCGCAGGGAAGACTCTGGCCCCAGTCCTCGCCCCTCCTTTCTTCTCCCTCCCCTGCGGGGACCACCGCCTCGCAGCGAACAGTAAGTGCCGCAGTCGTCGCCGCCCTCCGCGCTCCCTCCACCCCCCGGGGCCGAGCTCCCAGCGGGCGCGGCGCGCGGCCCTTGTCCCTCTCC